TGTTGTTTAACCAAAACTCCGCCGTTTCAACCCGGTTCAACAATTTAATGCGGCAGAAGAAATATTACAAAATATGTCATAAAACGATTAAGGGGTGCTCACAAGTGTCGTATTTTTAAGACCTTTGAAATATGGCATAAGACATGAGGCATAAGACAAAGCTTGTGAATACCCTAATTGTAAAAATAATGGATGACTGGCTTAGACTACATATCAATTCAACTGAAATAAAAATCGGAACACTTTCTTTTATTTGAGAAAAGTCACAAATCTTATTTGAAAATTTCAAGCTATACAATTAGAAATTCAAAAAAAAAATAAAAAAAAAATTAAATTGTAAACAAACATACAAAACAAACATTTTGACTACCTTTACACTGAAGCGAATTAATTAAATGAAAAAAGTTGAATTCGCTACCCTAATAACTCCACCTTGTAAAATTCGCCCTGCTGCACATGTAAATTGAAATAAATATTGATCCTGAAAATAACCGAAATCAAATTTACGTGTTGAAACAATAATGAATTTATAAATAAAAGGTACACAGATTTTCGCATGGTCAGCGCTTCTTTGTTGTTATTTCCACCTTATATGTATATAAATACTTTTAATATGCTTCCTATCTTATTTTTTGTGCGAAAAACATTTAGATATTCTTCTTCACTGGCGTTAGCGATTATAACCGAATCTTCCAACGGATCAACGGGTTCTTCCTCTTCCTCTGCTTCCACTGTATCTGGCACTGTATCGAATACTCTCAAAGCTGGAATGCTTTCATCCATTTCGGACGACATGACCCAGCCAGCGCAGCCACGCTTCTGCGCCATATAGTTTGACGGGTATGATGAGGGATTTGTAGAGTTTGGTTTTCGTTCGCCGGGAGAGGACTTTAGTTTTCAATTGCCTACTCAGTGCAAAGTAGCACCTATTGGAAAGAGTCATTCTGCGCTGGATTTCAAGGCTGACATTATTATTGGTGTTGGTACGGATCCCTAGTGACGTGGGAGCCGAGTCGCGAATGAGTTGAATGTTTGTTTGATCGTTTGGTATCAAGCGGCTCGGGGAGGTACTTCCCGATTCTGATGGAGCTTTTAGTGTTGCTCAAGGTCAGCCTAGATAGCCCTAATAAGTTCAGCGGGGATACCAAATTCAGACATAGGGACGTAAAGGCAGCTCCGATTTGTGCTGTCGAAGGCGGTTTTAAAATTATAAGGTGATGGGTGTCGATTCTCTTTTCACGGGACTTTTCCAAAATTAGGCGCATATTGAATATCTGGTCAATGGTTGATTTACCAGGTCTAAAGCTACACTGATAATATCCAATCAGTTTGTTGACGGTGGGATTCAGTTTTTCACACAATACTTTCGTAAGGACCTTTTATGCGATATTAAGAAGGCTTATTCCACGGTAATGGCCGCAGACTGTGGGATCACCTTTTTTGTGGATTGGGTAGAGCATACTTAGGTTCCAAGCATGCGGGTATGCTTTCATCCCACCATATTTCGGATAGAAGCTGATGTATGCACCTGATCAGTTCTTCACTCCCGTGTTTGAATAGCTCGGCCGGTTATCCATCGGTCCCTGCCGCTTGTATCATTTTCACCACCATTCAGCATGCTGGAGAAGCGTTCCCTCTATACACTCAGTACACTCCGGGCATTCGTCACTAGCTCACCCCTCTGGATCCTACAAGAGTTTGGTTTTGAAACCTTCCGTATGTCGCCATATTTTTTCGTAGAATTTTCGAACATTACCTTTCTTGGTCAGCTTCTCAAGCTCCTCATACTCCCGCATTTCGGCCTCCTTCTTATTTCCCTGCAATTGCGTCTTGCTTTAGATCTCGGTATCTATCCCACCCCGCACGTATTGTGGTCGATCGTAAGATTACGAGGTAAGCAGTATGTGTTTTCTCCACCGCGACACGATAGGCCTCATCGTACCAGCTGTTTTTGTGACCTTTTCGAAATCCATTAACTTCGTTTGCAGCTGTAAGTAGGGAATACGAAATGCTGTCCCAAAGTTCTCCTATACCGGATTGCTGATGAGTGCTCTCAGAGAGTAGGAGTCCACGTCGGCAGTCTGTTGTGTACAGGTTTTCAACGTCGAACCTTCCTTTTGTTTGTTGCCGGGCTTTTCTTTGAACCGGAATGAATGCCTGTACTCGATACCGAACTTGCGCTCTTTTCGAATCCTTTCAAATTTCACAAGGATCTTCTTCAGTCCTTGTCACGCAAATCGGAGCTCTTGGACATCGGTAATGTCAGCCTTTAATTTTGGGAGGACTTTATTTAGATGCATACCATAAAATCTGAGGAGTATTTTCCAAATAAAGCAGGATTACTTTGTGGATGATAGGGTTGTAACAATTTAATGCTAGGAGATGCAAAACCAAAATGCCGTTCCTATGGCTAAGTATGAAATTATCGTCGAGCCAATTTGAATTTTAAATATTATATATATATATATATTACATAGTTATTGATTTTCTATATCCACCTGAGGATTATATTTTGTTTATTATAGAAAGGTCAAATAAAGATTATGTGTAGTTGAGATATACTACGTATGTATATAAGTATATAATTGACGATTCATAACCGATTAAGCCTTTTGAGAGCCACATATGTATGTACAATATATATGTTGAAGTGGAACTATTTTTTAGTTAGTATACTAGTATACAGTCATAAACCTGTAAAGGAATTTCACTCATTAATAATACATTAGTGGTGCTTTGTATCTATTTGTACTTTATTATACGAACTATTTTATATTTTTTTAAGTTTACAAGTTTGATTTGATATTATTGACTATATAATTTATGTTCTCTACAAGTTGCTGATTTTTAAAAAATTAATGAGTGCAATCATCGTATTTACTAAGTACACTGGCATACACAAAAATTGAATTGATTTGTACACCAGACGCCACCTATCACGGACATGTTTTCCACCCGCTGAATTTTCAGCCAATTGGGTTGCACACCTCTCAGTATCAAGTGAATTTAAAAAAATCGGTGAATATAGCATAGAGTTTTATAATTAAATAAAGGGTGAATTTTTAACAGCTATAGAAAAGTTAAAAAAAAAAACACATACAATTCAAAAAAAAGCATGAAATATTTATTTGATTCGATAGTACGGTTCATATAATTTAATGTTTGAAGATTATTTCATGCGAATTTTGACCATACTCTTTCCAACATTTCGGCCGTTATCTCACGAATATATACGTCGATTGAAGCGGGCTCGTCTGTATAGACATTAGATTTAACATAGCCCCCCAAAAAATAATCTTAAGGCGTTAAATCGCACAACCTAGGCGGCCAATTGACCGGTCCAGAGCGTGAATTAAAATGTCCATTGAACTCGCCTCTAAGTCCATTGTTACGCCGCTCTGTGGCATGTGGCACCGTCTTGTTGATACCACATGTCATGCAAGTCAAGATCTTGCATTTTGGACAAAAAATAAAAGTTTGATATCATCTTACGGTAGCGCTCACCATTCACAGTTACGTTACGATTCTCATTATCTTTGAAGAAATACGGTCCAATGATGCCACCAGCCCATAAACCACACCAAACTGTGACTTTTTCTAGATGAGTTGGTGGCTCTTGCAAGGCTGCTGCTTGCTGATCTTCACTCCAAAATCGACAATTCTGCTTATTTACACACCCACTAAGCCAAAAATGAGCTTCGAAGCGCGTGCTTGCAAATTATTTGTTCGTTTGTAAGACGATTCATGTTTAAATTATGGACCGAACTGTAGATGTCTGACAGTGGTACATTGGCACAATAATTGTCAGACCAATTCCTTAAATTAACTGAGTACCAAAAGTTGAAAAGAGATTAAATTTTACCACTTAAATATAGTTTGCAATATTATGATTTTAAGAACAATTCCAGTTGCACTGATTGTTATTGTAAACCGTTGATGAAAATCAGGGTCGGTTCGGTATAAAGACCCGATGGTTGCCGGAACTATGGGATTTTAGTTGCCTCCTACGATAGCTTTGCTAAACCACTGGTAAATCCTTGAACTTCTCACCCGCAGGGTATACTGATTGTTCATATTCCATTTTAGTATCCAACTAGGAGGTTGAATCTTTTTTTCAATTTATTTATTTGTCATAAAGGCACTAGCTTTTTCTGCCGCAACTGTTTCCCATCTCTCTAGTAATTATCAAATAACATGTCTAAAAATTAGTCCCTTCTGTTTTTGATCCAATCATTGAACCGTTCTTCGATTAATCTCGATTAATCCTCCTGGGTTGATCAGAACCCTATTTGCCTTCGATGCTAAAATCATCACTTTTGAAGCAACGAAATCACTTTCTGCATGAATTACCGGTCGCAGCAAATTCACCCCAAATTTTCACAAGCATTCGAAGAGGCCAAAAACAATACTGTTGCCAGAAATTGGCGCTGATGGGCACTAATTACTTTTGACAGATGTAAAACCTTTTCAATGAAATATGTTATCGCTTTCAAGATCGGCCACAACTAGCAGGTGGATTTAAAGTTAGAATAAAAAATAATAAGTGTTATTATTTTATTGAGTTGAAAACGATACGTATTCAAATAATGTGTATTAAGTATACTAAGTACTATTTCAGTCATTTCATTCGTTATTTACGGTACTCAATGTAAGAAGTTGTTTTGTTCGTTATATGCCTCCTCCGTAGGCTTGACATACACAACGATTCAGAGTACGCTACAAACTCGAGATACCATTCTTTGCTATCCACCGCTTTCGATTTATTGGAATCAAAACTGTATACAGTCTTCCTTGTCTTTAGAGAGTCACTCGCAGTCTTACTTAGTAAATGCATTTGATATCCTTAAACGCAACGGTAATATTGAAATATAATATATCTTCCTTTTAACGCTGATAATAACTTTATTATTGTATTTTGATTTAAAAACTTGTGAATAATATTGGTGATAACAATTTAATTATTCTTCGTCCCTTAATGGAATTTTTCTGATATGTTTTAGGAATGAGAAACCGTGCAGTGGGTTCCCATGCTATGAACGATCACTCTTCACGCTCCCACACAATGCTCACGGTGCATATTATTTCGGAGCAACAAACAGATGGCGGAGTATTTATTTCAAAGCATGGAAAAATTAATTTTGTGGATCTGGCTGGAAGTGAACTTACCAAGAAAACGCTTAGCGAAGGCAAAACACTGGAAGAGGCTAATAATATTAATAAGAGTTTGATGGTTTTGGGTAAGATCAATTATTTTATATTATTATTATTATTTTTTTCTTTTGATCTGAACTTGAATGATTGTTCGTTTTAGGCTATTGCATCGCCTCGTTGAGTGATAATAAGAAAAGATTTGGTCATATACCATATAGAGATAGTCAGTTAACCAAATTACTAGCTGACAGTCTAGCTGGAAATGGTGTCACATTAATGATCGCATGTGTTTCTCCAGCACAATATAATCACGCAGAGACTTTAAACACATTACGTTATGCGTCAAGAGCCAAACGCATTCGTACAAAGCCAGTTATTATGATGGATCCACGCGAAGCACTTATACTTAGTTTAAAGCGTGATATAAATGCGTTGCTTATGGAAAATGATCATCTCAAAGCTGCTCTTAATCTACACCATGAAACACTTCCGAACGGAAATCACCAGAACGGAGAGCTTTTGGAAATGCATCTCGAACGTGTGGCTACCGGTGGTATGGCAGTACCAAAAGTTGATTTAGAACGTTTAGCCGAACTAGACGGCAGTGAATTGGCCGATTTGGTGAAGTTATATATGCAGGAGAACGAGGCGTTGAGACAAGAGAACAATCATCTATTTACAGTGCGTGAAACCATACTTAGGGATCAGGAAATTGTATGCCGCGAAAATGAAAGACTTTTGAAGAAATTAGAGGATGTCAACAAGTGAGTATAACAGACCGATTATTATATTTGCAAAAGCACAACGATCTCCCATGCTGATCCCTATAACAGATCGGTCATTCCCAATTCTTTCATTTGTGATAAAGCTGGCAAGGAAACAGATTTTCTTGATTTCGCCTTGAATCGAGTCCGCCTATTACTGGAAGTTTTTTTTTATTTCTTAAAATCGAATGTCTCGGTCACAGCGTCACCAATAGAGTGAGCTTTCGGTAGAAATTTTTTTTCGGCTAGTTAAAATATGTTTCAAATATGAACCAGATCGGAAATTTTATCGGGAGATTATGAATATGTTGAATATCCCGTGAGGAAGTTTAGTTGCAAGTAAAGTATCTTGCAGTGTTAACAAAAATAGAGGAAATCTTTACGCACAGAATGTTTAAAAAATTATTTTCATAGAATCGAAATCGGATTGGCCGTTTAGTACGTTACTTTCGTCATTTATATATAATTCATAGGTAATCAGAAGATATGTAGATAGATAATACGAATATATATAATAGTTAAAACAAATTCAACTTGTACTTCCTGTATATGGCCCTGCTCATTGTTCTTCTCCTCTCGTTCTAGATCGAGATTCGAGCAGTCGAACAATGAGGTGGGCACAAAGGAAGTTTTCATGAAAGCAATGTGAGACTCAAAGCATATCAGAATGATTACAACGCACAATTTTCCAGCCATACATGCCAGCATATTAACTTATATCATAATATTTACAATCTCATCTTACTATTGTCACTAAAATATACATGTATTGTAAGGATATTGTGGTCCATTTATGGCACTCATTGTATGGATATGTTGTTTTATAATTTATAAGAATAAATGTATTTTTAAATAAAAGAGATTTCTGAAGCAAGTAAGTAAAAACATATGACTATTACTACTTCTATCAAGGGTTTGTGTACGCTCACCTCTCATACCCGCCCGTTCTGCTATAACTGCCGAATCTGGAAATGGTACAGCTGGCTCTGAGATTTGGATGAATCCTCAGGACGTACCCATACATGAGGTTGGTGTTGTTATAATTATTATGATGTATTGATTTGAAAAGAGGTAGTTCATCACTTTCATATAAGTAAACTTGTTTTTATTTATCCGAAAGATTTAAAAGAATTGACCTAAAATTTATATTCACAATACTTTCAAATCTTTTAATGATAACTACATATAGCGTCCTGCTGAGATGGAAGGTCGGATATCTGAGAATAAAGACAAACGTTCTGATGAAGATCAGCGCAAGATCGATCAACAACGGATTGCAAAGAACATTATTAATATGGCAAGCTCTTTCCAAAAGAAACCCGACGAAGCAAAGACCAACAATTGGGAAAATGTTACCGAAAAGAATGCGCCCGTAATAGACAAACCTAACACAGCACAAATAGAATACATGCCGGAGTAAGTTGATTGCCCAATACCTTATCCGATCAAAATAACTTCATTAACTATGTTTTTTTTTTCATTTAATTTTTGTAACTATAGCATGCTTATGTAAATACACCTGTATACGTACATACTTAGAGTACAAACGCATACCTGATATTGCTCGGTCGAATTCAGAGGCCTCGTACATAACTATTTTTGAAAATGGAATCGTTTGAGAAATGGACTAAATTAAATGTGGACTTAGTGCATATACATAAGTACATCTATATTTGCTCGTAAGGAGATATTATAGTAGCTTTAACTGAAATATTTGCGCAAACAAGAAGCCTAACTATAATTAATCAAATTGTTATTGGAATATTTCAGCTGAATTGAATAAATATTAAGCTTTGCTCAACGTACGTATTTTTTTTTTAATTTGTAAGGATTTATTATATCGCTTGAAATCTGCTAAAATAGGTGCGTAGAAAAACACTAAATGAATACTTCAGCTGCTGAGGGATGAAATTATTTGGACATAGACCTACACTATCAAGTATACCGTCGAAAACTGAACTACTTGCATATATTCTGATAATATGATCTGCCTGCGCAACGGTGTTTTACAATTTACCTTCGATAAGAACTACAAGCAGCCTTTAGCAGCTATTGTTTGGAGGGGTTCGGACCAAAGGCGTGTAAGGATGTGATTAAAGTCGTGCGGGGACTCGTTACACACTGGACTTACGCTGGGTGTGTTGGCGTCGTATCTGGATAGGTGGGAGTTTATCCTGCTACAGTACACAGATCTAAGTTGCGCCAATATTACGCGCGGCTCTTAAGACAGCTCGATCCCTTCTTCTGCTTTGAGTGGTAGTTTGACTCCGAAGACGCAATTCACAGAGAGAGTTCTTGAAGGTGTTGACTGACTCTTGGTGAATGGAGTTTAGTGCCTGTCTGAACCTGTGCTCCCATCGGTGGCATTCCAACGTAAATTGCTTGCACAGCGCGTCATTTAATTCTTTTCTTCTCTGCCAGCACATCTTATTATTTCCGCCAGCATCAAATTGAAGAAATCACTGTTGCTTTTTAGTGGGTTAGATATAGCGGCGTAAAGGAGCTCCTCATATCTTTTCATCGAATTTTCGAGCGCTTCCCTTGTTGACCAGTTTCTCAAGTCCTTCATACTCATGCATTTCAAACTTTTTTCTTTGAAAATACGTCTTGAATTTTCCTTTAACTCTAGGTATCTATCCCATCCCGCACTTGTTGTTGTTTACGATCGCAAGGGTGCGAGATAGGCAGCCTGTTTTCTCTAAACCGCAATAATTCTGATCGGACATTTTTTATCGTATCAGCTCTTTCTGTTAATGCCGAAAACCAGTTGTGTCCGTTGCGAAGGTATGTAAGGAGTTTGAGATGATTTTCCACAGTTCCCTTATATAGAGTTACTGATGAGTGCTATCGGAAAGTGGTGGGCAAGACAGGTAGAAACCCATGTGGATATTTTTTGTGATTGCCACTTTTCGATGTCGAACGCTCATTTAATCCAGAACACTGGAGATAAATCGTCCGTATATTACAACATTGCCAATATGGTTTTGAGTTAGTGAACTATAAAAAGGCAGATAGCTGGATAAATTTTATTTTATTTTCTAGTATAGGTAATTTTTTTGTCCAAGACAATTGGTAATAATAATGTTGTCGGGTTTAGTTCAAAGGAAGATTCAGAAGCTTATAATAGAATATCTATACCTTACAACTCTTCACTATGGGCATACTCATATATATATATAATTACAACTTTGCGAGCCCTAGAATATGTACTCGATTGAATTGAAAGATGGTACGGGATTCGAGATATTGTCCGATTTTCACTGCAAGTCGTGTGCCTTTGCAGAGTTTCGGCTGATTAATATTGCGTAGCATTTTGTTGGATACAGGATTTTCAATTTAATATGTGTAAATCCAAAGAATTCAAAAATTATTTGGGATAGACTGCCTCGTCTGCTTACACAACGTTATCTATTGACTTATTTGTGACGGATTCGCTTAGAGTGTTTGTTTTGAATATTTCTTCTGCTTTTGATTTCGAGTAATTGTCGTGAAAATATTATCGACAATAATATATAATATAATAAGTGTTTGCGTATATCGCCACAACATTGAGTATTTTAGGCAAGCGTCTATCCTACTACAATATCCAGACCTAAGTTACGCCAGTATTACGCAGGACTCTATAGACTGTACGAGCATTTCGTCGGCTATGGTCTTGACTCCAAGAACGCCATTCACAGGGGAGAGTTCTTAAAAGGTGTTACACATATTGATGAATGCAGTTCTTAAGATCAAATACCTCTTCCAATGCTTGCCATCGATTACATCGCCGCAGTTAGTTCTGTGACGTTGCTTCTTTGGCTTAAATTATAATTAACGCTATGTTAAATGCTTATTTCCCCAAAAATCAAGGAACTTTCAAGTCAAAAAAACACTGAAGGGGTGCCAATGCCTGTTGAGGGACGACCGCTTCAGGCGAATTTGAATTTTTCATCAGTTATCTAATTACTCATGTTATAAGCGTGTGTTTAATGCGGCTATATTTTCCACAGCAGCTTACCGAATAGCGTTCGATTTCGTTGGTTTTGTTTGCGTTCAAGATAGTGATCGATATCAATTCTCTTATCAGGAAGACTAGGTATATTTCGTTTGTAAGTTATAGATTTATAACTATTTATTGATATTTGTAAGCGGGACCATGATGATCAATTTAGCCACTTCAAATAGTCAAAATCCATTTTAAATTTTAAGATGTCTTAACTCAGACTACCTGTGTAAATTTTAATTATTCAGTGAATTTTGGTATAAACATTGTACACTTCAATTTTATATGTCTATGATTACTAATCATCTAAAAACTCTACGCTTGTAAGTTAAAAGTGGAAATCAATATTAGTGAATTTGTATATATAATGTATATTTGTTAACCCTTAATATGGTAATTAATATCAAATAATTATATTAAAATCGAAACAATTATATATGTATGTATACTTCTGCGGAATTTGGAAACATCACTTGCTCTGCCTCTCATCTTCACTATCAGAAGATGAATTTACATCACCTAATTCCAATATTTTTTTGAAATCTTTCACCTTTATTTTCGCTGGGACAATTTGCAATAAGAACTCCAAGTTCTTTTCCTTTTGGACGTATTGTGACAAATGTTTATATTTCAGTGTATTATCGTCTTTGACTTTACCGTAAGCTTCTTTCGTTAATTTTTGTATGAACATTTCCTTTAATAAAACACAATTAGTATTTGAGCAACTACTTTAATCTATAACATATACTAACCGTAGATTTGGTCATAAGTAGAAGAACTTCATTTGTTATTTGTCCAGTGTTTAAAGAACTCTTCATAATGGTTCTTATGCGACTTAATGGTAACTCGGTGTCCATGATTGCAATTAAATTCTAAAAAAATTTTACCGCCAATAAATACTTGTCCACAAAACTAAAATGTTTATACAACAGAAGCGAATTCAGACATCATCTGGTATGAATTCGCCCTAATTTAATTAGAATTCTAAACTAACGAAGGTAGCCGTATAAAAAAAAAAATAATTGTTTTTTTAAAGTTAACAATCCTTATTTTATAATGTGATATTACGACAGTCCTGATATAAGCCTCAATTTTTTACAAATCTTTCAAGTTCGTCCATTGGATTGTTAAATAAAAGTCCTAAGATTTGTTTTGATATTTCTTAACTGTAAAGAAATCAACGAAAGTCAATTTATTGCTCAATAACTTACTATACACGACACCTCATTTCACTATTTTAACACTCTACTATTTTCACAGTTTATTAACTATACAACTCTCTTAAAACACATAGTTTATAATATATATATATAATAATTGTGGATGGGACTATGTGGAGAAGTTTACGATAGATTTTTAAGGATTTGATTTGAATACATGCACCTGGAATGTCCGATCCCTTAATTGGGAAAGTGCTGATACCCAGCTGGTTGATGTCCTAACAAGATTAAAGGTTGACATCATCGCCGTCTAAGTAAGTAGGCGGGGCTGGGAGTGAAGAAATATGCTACAGTGGCTGGCAAAGAAGCGTAAATTCGGTGTCGGATTTGTAGTGGGGGAAAGACTCTGTCGCCGAGTACTGGCGTTCACTCCGGTGGATGAACCTCCGGCCACAACCCACATCCAAACCAAATTTTAAACATAATGCTGATTTGCGCCTGGACCACATCAGAAGCAGAGTCAGAATTGGGAAGGACCTTTCCGAGTCGTTCGGTACCAAACGAGGTTTCAGACAGTGTGATTTCTTCAGTTTGCTGCTGGAGAAAATAATAGGAAATAATGGAGAGCTGAATAGAGAAGGTACAATCTTCTATAAGAATGTATAGCTGCTGGCGTATGCCGATGATATTGACATTATTGGCCTCAAAAATCGCGCAGTGAGTTCTGCTCTCTTCAGACTTGAAAAATAAGCGAAGCGAAAGGGCCTGGTAGCGAACGAGGGAAAGACGAAGTATCTCCCGTTCTCAAACAAACAGTCATTGCACTCGCGACTTGGCTCCCACGTCACTGTTGACAGTCATAACTTCGAGGTCGTAGATAATTTCGTCTATCTAGTAACAATCATCAACACCAATAGTAGTGTTAGCCTTGAAATTCAACGCAGAATCTACAACTCGCTAATCACACCCGGAGACGTTGTCGACATCTGAAATTATATATTAAAAATATCAAAAACTTAGTAGCTTATTATAACTACAAGACTTGTTTTTTGAAAAGCAGTAGCAAAGCTGGCGTTCAGACGCGAGAGTGCGATATTTGGGATGAGTTAGAAGCAAAGACTTCGTAGATTGAAGGAACTGAAACCTGTGGTAAGGATTTTGTGGATCACACATATATATAAATTTAAGTAGAGTACAAAACGAAAAAATCATGCTACATGGTCAAGTATTTTTTGCACAAACACATATCTCACAATGTTGTAGGAAACATTTATCTTTTTCCTTCATACGGAGCTAAAATTGCAAAAATAAAATCAAGTCTTTGGAAAATACACATTTTGACTCCGAAAATATAAGTCTCCACCAGAAAAAAAAATCACATGATTAAAATCAATAAAAAAGAGTGTGGACTACTCCGACTTCTACATTGTTTTGTTACGGACCGTATTCTGCATTTGTTTAAGCCAAAACTTTTAAGTAAATGTAAAATTTATTAAAATGTCTAGGATTTTCTATGTTTAGCTTTAGTGTTGTTGCTGCTGTAGGAGCTACGTTAACCCCGCTTAGGAACAGGTAAGTCACCGAGGTAATCTAACGGGAGGTCCGGGAAACGTGCTCTTTGGACGGGATCGCATTAGAGTCATGTGGAGAGGAGGATAGCGTCTGGCGGAGATTCTTCACATCCTGGTCATACGTTGGGTATGTTGGTGTCGAGTCCTCATAGGTAGGAGTTTAACCAGCTGCAGTATCCAGACCTAAGTTGTGTCAGTGTCAAAGATAACATGATACGAAACTCTCACAAATTGCAGATAAATGCGTTCCTTGATTATTTTCTCTGGGCTGGTGACAAAGCCAAATGAAGAAACCTTGCACAGCTGATCGTTAAGATGTCTCAGAACTACTTATTTTTTGTATGCTAAAACTAAGGAAAAGTATTATTATATTCGTTAAAGCAAACTATAAAAATAAATAAATGTTAAACAACAAGGCCCCAAAATTCTCCGAAAATCCAAAAACAAAAACTTTTTCAACGAAGTGGCACTGTTGGAAAATGTTATAAAAAATGTGGATTTTTAGATTTCTCTCACGAGATAAAGAGTTTCGTAACTTTGTCAGTGTCACGCGGGTCCCTCTGGGCAGTTCGAGCTCGTTGTCTGCGTTAGGTGGTGGTTTATCTTCGAGAACGTCAATCACGGGAAGTGAGTCTTTGATTGACTCCTGGCGAATGGCGTTTAGTGCAAGTATGTACATCCTGTCTGGCGGTTGTTGCACATGTTTCTAGATTATGTCCCTTAAATCTAGTACTCCCTTTCTGATGTGTGTAGGTTGAGGCTCAGCTTCTACTAGGTTCCTATTGGGGTGTTCCCTACGGTAACATCCCAATATGAACTGCTTGCACAGCAAAGTATTATGCTCCTTAACTCGTAGCATAGTTTCAAAAGGTTTCTTGTCGCGGTCCTGAGGACAGCGTTCTGACAAGCCTGTAACTTCTTCATCTTTAGTTCGAGCCTGTACTCCTTTGTACAGCTTTAGCTGAGGTTGTACTTAAGTTGTCGTGCAATGAATGAAATGGGACAGGTCGACGAGATATCAGTTCACTTTCGAAGAAAGGTCATCAATAACATGGTCAGACGCCAGTATCGTGCAAATCACCGGCATATGAGGTTAGGGAAAGTACTTCTGGTGAAGGAGGGAGTTTCGAGATGTAGAAATTCAACGACAGTGGGGATAGGACATCACCCTGCGGAACCCCATGTGTAATTTTCCTTGGTTTCCATGTTGCCTAAATGTCCGATAGTAGCTTTGAATGGTTGACGATTTCAAAACCTTTAGACAGATCCAGGGCTACCAGGACAGTTCTCACGCAGGGTCAGTTTGGTTAAGGGCATTGGCTATCAGAGTTGATGTTTTATGCTGTTGTTAGTTATGGAAATCTAATTGATTGTTACATGTAATAAAGGAGAGTAGTATATTTCCAATTGGGTATTTAATTAAGTTCAATGGGAAATAGTGTAAAATACAACACTGCGCCATTCTCTTTGTTCTTTTCAACTTCTTCGCAGACAAGAATTTGTGTAAGAAGCGTTCGCTTTAGTGATATTAGTGAAATTCGCAGTTAAAATTTTTGCGAAATTAGTGTATATTCGGATAAAAAGGTATTCTAATTAGTAGATATTGCTAAAACGAAAAAAAGTTATAGTTTTAGCAAATATTAGCACAAAATTGCTATTGTTAAAAAAGCTTATACCAAGATGGATTTTTTAATAAACTACCTGGACTGGGAAAACGAATAAGTAACAGATGGGAAATTAAGTAGTAAAGGAGTTGAGGAGATCAGTATGTACGTTTATATCTAAGATAGTACAAAAAACGTGTCGCGGAGTTATGCGTCTATGTCAGAACCCATGTGGTGGTCTTCTAGAATATTGTCGCGTGCTCGTCAATCAGATTAATCATAGAAGTCCATATGTATGCTTGTCAAATTACGTTACAATTTATAAAAAGATTCTTACTAAACTCATAAAATAATACACCAATACAAAAAGTGTGCTTCTTTGTATATTCTCGATTTGTTTTCCTTTCAGTTCCTTCGCTTGTTTTAATTTCAGGCGTGTACACAATCATTGTAAGTGGAAAAAACCTGTGCCATTAACTGTGACTATTGATAATTTTTCTCACAGGAGAAAGAAAAAATATTGAAACAAAATTGACTTCACTAGAAAACAATTGAAATCACGAAAAGCAAAATTGATTTAATAACGCATAAACAGTAAGCGAAAAGGATAGCTGATTTTTTAGAGTGTTTTGGACGCCCGCCGCCCAATGTCTTCAAGTTCACCAACAGCTGAGCAGAACTCCTCCGTAGAGCCACCGGCAGCTAAAAAGCGTAAGCTGCTCACCTCTTCCGGCGGTGCCTCCAATAGTAGTTCCCCAAACACCAGCCCTAATAATAGCAATAAAAACAACACGGACAACGGTGACGATAGCCATAATCACGAAAGTGGTGTGGAAGGAATTATCGTTGACGTATCAGCTGAAAAAGCCGGTGAATCAGCACTATCAATCAGTGCTATACAGCCATTTCACTCAAATTCGTTAAGTGGCGGCGATACAGCTGACTCTGTCTGCAGCGAGAAAAAAAGCAGTAAGAGTGACAGTAGTTGTAGTAAAAGCGACAGCGACAGTACTTTATCGGCAGTGAAGAAGGAAAGCGGTCAAAGTGTGAATAGCGGAATTTCTGTTTCATGTGAAAACGTAGTCTCAGGATTAAAATCCGAAAAATTAAAGAAGTCGGTGGAAATAGAAGAAAAAAGTTTAAAAGTGAATAATCCTGCTAAAACCTTGTCAGTTTGCGATACAGAGGATAAAGTTAATAACTCCACCGGGAATCAAACAAAATCAGGGGTTGCTTACGGGGTAAACAATCAAATGGCTGGTGGTAACACGACAAGCGACTCCCGTTCGCGCGGAGCGTCTGACATCGATGAGTCGCTTTACTCGCGCCAACTGTATGTATTGGGTCATGATGCAATGCGTCGCATGGCCAACTCTGACATATTATTATCGGGACTTGGAGGTTTAGGTCTAGAAATAGCCAAAAACGTTATTTTGGGAGGTGTAAAATCGATTACACTTCATGACAAGGCGAACTGCACCGTAAGTATTAATAGTTATGGAAATTATAAATCATATTACTCGCTAGCTCAGTGTAGCTTTTTACTCTTAATAGGGAAATTTGACGTAAAAGTGATATTACAGAAAAGCTTAACTGAAGTATTGTTTGCTTTAGGTTAAAGGAAAAATCAATATATTCCCCTTCCCTTCTGTTGTTTTCCCACGAAAGAAGCCATTCATATTATATTCAGTATTAGTTTTGCCGCGGTTTTCCAAATACATACTTATATGTATTTTAAAGATTACGAGAGCAAATTGATTTAAATGCATTAACCTTTTATGTTTTACCATTTCCATTATTTTGCACTGTCATTGCCATTTAGTTAGATTATTCTTCCAGTAAATGGTTTGTGTACATAAGAATGTATACTTTGTATTTTTCTAATTGGGTTTGACCTGTTTGTACACATTTAGTGCTCATAAAGTTTTTCATATTTTCATAATTTAAAGGTAAAATATAATTATATACCTCCAAGGTGTTAAATTTATTAATGTATGTACATAATGCTCATGTGTATACTTTGGTGAATGGTTGGTAATATACGAAATATGAGCTTTCAGGTAATGAATTTTGCTTTATTTATTTGTACTTCATAGCGATAGGCTCCCAGAAATAGTTTATTTTTGAATGTTAAATTAAGTCGAAAGAAATTTTACGCAAACGAAAAATATTGAAAAGTAGATGATTCATTGTTACCAACGGTCGTGTGTGGTGAGTTAGAATGAGATGGACATACGGTTTAAAGAGGTCATACGCCATTTATAACATGCAAGAGAAGTTTAGATGCTGGCGCGATATGTTATGGTACACACATAAACTGCCTGGCTGGTATGCTATGCTTTAGCGGAAAGTGGTGCAGTGCACCGCGTTGTTCTGGAGATTTTTCATTTTTGCTCTTTTGCCTTTATTCTTGTTTTTCTTTGTTCTGAAAGTTATCTTTGTTACAAATATTTTCGCCACACTTGCAAATAAACTTAGGTATATGTTATTACCCATATTCTTTGCTAATCAAGTTTTTGGGATTGTAGTATATCTGAAAGGTGTTTTTTCAAAAAATAAGAAATAAAAATCATTATTGCTGTGCCTTTGCGTGAAACGAAAAATCTTTACTTCTAGCTTTTAATTACTCTATATGATGCGGATATTATCCAAATACACCTAATTGCGCCTTTGATCATAAGTACGTGTGAACAAAGGGATGATAAGATTTCAATTCTACAAAATTCTTTTCATAGATTGAGATACGGCACAAGGTCAAGACTAAGCTGATTCACAGATTCAGATTGGGTTTTTCCTCACATGTTTTTATTTATTTTTACTATAACGGTCATTGTATTAAAAAATTTGGTAAAATTTTTGTTTAGAGCCACAGGCTTTCGCAAATAAATTTTATATGGATGGAAAGAGGAAAAATCATAGATTCTAAAACTAATTTTCTTTTATTTAGCTGACTTATAGTTTTTTAATAATTCTATTTTAAATTTCGAGTAATAAATGCAAAATTACGTCTACATTGGAGTTGCCGGACTACTAAGTAAAATAATACTTAAGTACAGAGCTTGTGTGTTTGTATTTTGGCTAGGCAGGCGTAGCCACTCAGTAAAAAGGTTTATAAATTAAGGATAAATATGCNAAAAATGAAAGAATAGTGACCGATTCATAAAGAAATAATGGAATAAAGTTAACACTTTATAACAACAAATAACTTATAAACTTTAATATATTCAAATTCCAAAAGTTAAAATATTGGAAAAATATATTTCTGTCATCATTCCTACGAAGTTTCATGTCGAAATTCCTGGTTGTTTGCTTACAATATCAAGTGGGGCTGCATATCAAAGCTCAGCCAAAAATTTCTACTTTTATATATGCTTGGAATAATATGAACATCTTTATTCCATTTATCTTAATTATGAGATAGTTGTCATGTTATAGGGTAAATGTGTTTGTTACCGTATGATTACCTTTTCTTTTCAACTTCATGCTTAATTTAATTTCATACAACTAATTATGCCGAAACGTTTGATATCAATTCACAATTTCGAACTAAATCTCTAAGGATGACGATTCATTTCTGTTTTATTGGGAACGTCCGTCTTCGTACAAGTCCTAAAGGTAGTGGAGTAGGTACTCACCTACATCTTCAAAGGGGGAATATATAAAAAAATAAGATGTAACAGAATGGATATATGTGTAATGTAATAAATAAAATGTGAAGTGAGTGAGGTAATTTAAAAACGAAAAGTTAGTTTATTCTTACAATGCTTTTTTAATATTCATATAACTATGTTGAAGCGATTTCCGGCCGAGCTCCATCTCCAATGAGGTATGCGTCTTGAGGGTTCTATAGTTTATTCTGAGCCGCTGAATTTTTTGAGGAGCTTTTGTTTCATTTAGACATACGCTCTGAGGGCTTAACATGCATGCGACCGCAAATAGAAATATTAATTTCCTATCATTTTGGATGTATGTTGAACCCGGATTCTAACATTGGCCATCAAGAGGGCTATTTCGGCCCCGAATTAGTTATATATTAATTGGCAATAAAACCAAATACTATTTAACCCATTTCCATGAATAATAATGTGTGATTCTTCATTTAAAAGTCTATCCCATTACGAAAAAATAAAATTTTTCACACTTTTCCCCACTTGCACCAAATAAATCCTTCAAAAAAGGGCGTTGATTACATAAAAATGAAACTAGTTTTAAGATTATAAATTAATACTGCTTCGAGGGCATTTTTTTTTGTTTTTTGATATAAAATTGTTAACAGCTTTCATATTTTTTCCAAAAAACCATAGTACCGTCCGGTTACTATGTGGTGTTCGTTTACTAGATAGCAAACTTATCCTACCTACATTGAACATTTTTTTTATTTTTTTTATTGAACTGTTGGACTGTAAGAATTTGAATGTTCTGCCTGTCCATACATTCATCTCTTTAATTTTTCATTAAAAAAACCTCTCACGTTAGGATTAACCTTGCTGAATTTAAGTAATATTTTTTAAATAACTTAACATAGCTATATACATACTTTCCTTTAAATTTGTATTAAAAAATCTAATAGATTTTGTAAATTTCAGATTCGTGATTTGTCATCGCAATTTTACCTAAGTGAATCTGATGTAGGCCGTAATCGGGCAGAAGCTTCTTGTGGCAAGCTAGCGGAATTGAACAATTATGTCCGTACCGAAGCATATACAGGTGAATTAAGCGAGGATTTTTTGCGCCAGTTTCGAGTTATTGTATTGACGGCATCTGATGATAATGAGCAGCATCGCATCGCAAAATTTGCACATGAAAATGGTATCGCTTTGATCATTGCCGAAACTCATGGACTCTTCTCCAAAATATTTTGTGACTTTGGAGAAAATTTCATTATATACGATCAAGATGGCGCTCAGCCGATTTCAACGATGATTGCAAGTATTACTCACGATTCCCAAGGAGTAATAACCTGTTTGGATGAAACTCGTCATGGCTTAAATGATGGCGATTATGTCACTTTTAGCGAAGTACAGGGTATGACCGAATTAAATGGCTGTGAGCCGATAAAAATAAGTGTACTAGGTCCATACACCTTTAGTATTGGTGACACCAGTCAATTCAGTGAATACATTTCCGGTGGAATTGCTACGCAAGTAAAAATGCCTAAAACGGTGAATTTCAAATCGCTTGAAGAGTCGGAGAAAGAGCCTGAATTCTTAGTTTCTGATTTTGCTAAGTTTGACCACCCAACTTCATTGCATATAGCTTTCGCTGCATTACATAAATACATTGAACAAGTAGGTCAACCACCACGTCCCTGGAATGAGGAAGATGCACAAAAATTTTTACAAATGTGCAAGTCTGTTAATGAGGATATAAATGACAACGTTGTTTTGTTATTTGCAAAGACCTGTGCTGGCAACACTTGCCCCATAGATGCTGCAATTGGTGGTTTTGTAGCACAAGAAGTTCTGAAGGCATGTACCGGAAAATTCACGCCTATCTATCAATGGTTGTACTATGATGCAATTGAATGCCTGCCGACCGAAGGTGTGGCAGAGGCAGACGCTCAGCCGGTTGGATCTCGCTATGACGCCCAAATTGCTATTTTCGGAAAGAGTTTCCAGGAAAAATTGGGTGATGTGAGGTAATTATATATTAATTTATTTTAAATATACTAATGCTTTTACGGCGTTAAAGATATCGTCAACCAACAAGTTTTTTATGCATTTTTTAAATTTTTTCGCCACAATAAAAAATAATTTTGCAATTCTTGAATTAAAATAATGAAATAATGAAAGTCATAACTTGAGAAAAAGGAAAAATTAGCGTCTTATGCTGTAGCTTTTGTTTTTATTGTCCGATTCGCATCACGTAAAGGTTTTGCTCGCTTGACTTTAGGTATGGCATAACAAGCTTTCCGAACGGCAGATAAGTTTTCTTTCAAATTTTTACCATGTTTTCTTTGCGATATTAGTATTGACTTCATTTTATGGGTTTTACTGGGATTCCTGTCAACTCTTGGCTTATCAACCAAGAACAAAAAAGAATCTATCTTCCAAACTCAATTAATATCTAATTTGGACAAATATTTGGGATTGTTGTCCGCCTATAAATTTCCTTTTGGTGTTTCAAACTTTCAAAATACTAAAACCTGACCATTTTGTCGTTGATTTGTATGAGCAGACCACCACCATAATTTTGCCCAGTGCCCAGTGATTAGTTTATATCTGACGCGATTACTAGAATGGATTTTTTCCTAGCGCGCATCAGCATTTCGAGACCACGGCTTTCGAATTTTACTTTATTAATATATCGGTGTTCTCCACACTTGAGTTAATTGCGTTATGGACTTTCTTCAAAGAATTGTTCATAACTTTTGAAATATCTGCCCTTTACGCATTTTTCATATGAAACGACAGCTGAAGAATGTTGTCTTTTTTCCTGATCCTGATTTTGAATTTGGTACTCAAATCACTTCTAATCAATTCAAATATGCATATCTTTCTCTTCTATTGAAAGTTTTGAAGATAATGGGGGGCATGCTGCATATAAATAGAAAAATTTTTTTTTGATATAAATTTGATTGATTATTCTTACTTTAGATATTTCATTGTTGGAGCTGGCGCTATTGGTTGCGAATTGCTGAAGAATTTTGCAATGATTGGAGTTGGTGCGGGCAATGGTGAAATCGTCATCACCGATATGGATTTGATTGAAAAATCAAATTTGAATCGCCAATTTTTGTTCCGGCCGCATGATGTACAGAAACCGAAGGCCAAAACAGCTGCGAATGCTATTAAGAAGATGAATCCTGATATTAAGGTCACAGCATATGAGTTGCGTGTGGGTTCTGAAACAGAACAGGTTTTCTCCGAAGAATTCTTTGGAAAGCTTAATGGTGTAGCTAATGCGCTAGATAATGTAGATGCGCGTATTTACATGGACCGTAAGTGTGTTTTCAACCGTCTGCCACTTGTGGAGTCTGGTACTCTGGGCACAATGGGAAATGTACAGGTGATTGTACCATTTTTGACTGAATCGTACAGTTCATCGCAAGATCCTCCAGAGAAGAGTATTCCGATTTGCACACTCAAGAACTTCCCCAATGCAATTGAACATACTTTGCAATGGGCTCGCGATATGTTTGAAGGTGTATTTACACAATCTCCCGAGAATGCTGCACAATATTTATCCGATCCCAACTTTATTAAGCGTATTATAAAATTGCAGGGCATTCGACCGTTGGAGATTTTGGAATCTGTGAAGGTAATTATTGCATATTAAAATATTTTAGCACAAAAACTCATTATATATTATTTTTAGAAAGCTTTAGTAGACGAACGGTCCAGCAGTTTCTTGGATTGCTTAAAGTGGGCACGAAATCATTGGGAAGAGCACTACGCCAATCAAATTAAACAGTTACTATTTAATTTCCCACCCGATCAAATAACTTCAAGCGGGCAACCTTTTTGGTCCGGTCCAAAACGTTGTCCTCAACCTCTCGTGTTCGATGTTAACGACGATCTTCATTTAGATTATGTATTTGCAGCTGCTAATCTCCGTGCTGAGATGTATGGAATTGAGCAAGTGCGTGATAGGCAGCAAGTTGCACTTCTTATTAAGGATATAAAGGTATTTTTTATTGTTATTTAATGAAGAGCAACAATTTGAAACAAAAAAAGATATATATCTTTATCTGAGTATTTGCACTTTTTAAATTATTAAATTCAACTTTGCTCGGCAGGTTGCTGAATTTAAACCCCGATCAGGCGTTAAAATCGAAACAAACGAGAGCGCTGCTGCTGCTGCAGCTAACAACTATGACAGCGCAGATGTGGATCAAGACCGTGTAAACAAGATTTTAACTGAGCTACAGGCTCTGCGTGAAAGCAAAACTCAGCTAGTTGTTAAGCCGCTAGAATTCGAAAAAGACGATGATAATAACTTCCACATGGACTTTATTGTTGCTGCATCTAACTTACGTGCTGCTAATTACAAAATTCCACCTGCTGATCGTCACAAGTCCAAACTAATAGCTGGCAAAATTATTCCAGCAATTGCCACAACTACATCACTTGTCTCTGGTCTGGCTGTTCTAGAAGTTATGAAATTAATTTTGGGGTAAATATTCATTAAGGCTCTCCACGCCCAGCGCCGTAACAGATTATTTCTTTTCAGACATAATGATATGGATAAATTCAAGAACGCTTTTGCGAATTTGGCTTTGCCTTTCATTGCGTTCTCCGAGCCGATGCCTGCCGCAAAGAATTCGTACTATGGTAAAGAATGGACGCTGTGGGATCGTTTTGAAGTTGCTGGAGAGCTCACATTGCAAGAATTCCTTGATTACTTCGAACAGAAAGAAAAACTGCAAATAACTATGTTATCACAGGGTGTCTCGATGCTTTACTCGTTCTTTATGCCTAAAGCTAAATGTGCAGAACGTCTGCCTCTACCCATGACTGAAGTTGTCCGACGAGTCTCAAGGAAACGAATCGAATCACATGAACGCTCATTGGTATTTGAGATTTGCTGCAACGACGAGGATGGTGAAGATGTGGAGGTGCCGTATGTTCGGTATACTTTACCCTAAAGATGATGTCGGTGATATAAAGAAAAGTTTTGAGCGACAAACAAGTGCTTGACCTTCAATTTAATTCATATTTGGTTTAACATTTGAAATAATTTATTACAAAATATTTATAAAAGCCGTGTCCTTTATAATTTCAAAATACCATTATTTCCCAATGAAAACACATTATTCCGCAAACGATAAAATTACGAAGAATAAACTGTCGGCGGACTTTGTTGTATAACTACATAGTAATACAGAGTAACAAAGAAAAAATAATTATTTGTAGCAGTTCGACTGCATTTTTCATCAATAATAAAATTTTGTTGTTTCAAATATAAATACAAACTTATATATAATTAAAATGAAACTATATTTTATTAATTAAAGCTCAAACATATAGGAGTGAGAAACTTTCGAAAGCATAAATATAATTAAAGAATAAATATTTTTGTAGAATTATTTTTATTTCAATGGAAATAAGTGTTTTTATATGCAGAGGAGTTAATGTATGGATATGAAATCGAATGACGGATGAACGCATTAGATAAAAATAGAATAACTTTAGTATTAGTCACATCAGCGCAGAATGAATATTGACGAAAGGTATTACGACCACAACAATTTATTTGAAAAACTAATGTGTTTCTTCTCATTTTGTTTCCAAAATGCTTGCAAAATTTTCTATAATAAAAGAGAAAAGCTATGTGGGAGTAAGATAACTTAGTTTGGGAGTGTTTTCTCTACATTTTGGCAAAGGTATTAAACTACTTGCTTTTATAAAAAAAAACGTGACTGGCATCAGTGCATTCGCTCGAGAACTTTTGCCAATTTATTTAAATATTAAACAATCTAAATGTTTTAAGTCTAAGTTTTAAGTCTACTGCATTTCCTTTATAAAATCTTAATATTTCGTTTGAAATATCTGGGTGCGATTCATAAATAATAGGTATTTCACATCGTAGAAACGGCTGTCTTGTGATCACCGGATTTAACCCGAATTTTTTTGGACAAGGGATGTTACCCTTTCGGCAATCTAACAACCCTTTCGGTAACAACATTAATATAAGTGCACCAAGGGAGCAACTTCTCACAGCTGGGTTCGAAATCAACCCTGTTGTGTGTACCAAAAAAAAAAAAAACTACGCCACTCCTCCGCCTCCTCCTCCTTAGGTGTAACCAGTTCAGTGGTTGGAGTCACCTTAAGGTCTGCTCAGGCTTTAAGGCCCACAGGGAGTGGTCCACACCTTACGTTACCCGATGCTGGCAACGCTCTAATGCGCCCCAGCCTCCACGGCATTGTATGCAGTATCTTTACACACTCTGAGTAACCAACTACACACCTCTACGGTTTCAAGAAGCTCCAGGCAGCATGACTACCACCAATTACGACCCCCATTCTCAACCAGCTCCTCTTTCTCCCCCCGTAGGAGAGCTACCCAGCAGCTCCTAGTCCTCCGCACAGTCTTTTCCGTGTGCCGGACCATAGCAAGCTGTAGGAGTTTGCCTCTGCTTTATCTACAACATCGCCGCCAATCAACACTAATGTGCAGCAACTACACACTACATCTAGTCATCACTCCCTCGTATTTCGAACGTCCCCGAGACAGACACGCCTGCTATAATTTAACTGCAATGTAGTACCTGTAAATTGCTGCCATCCAGGTACCGAAGTTGTCAGCCCGTTCGGAATTTCTGAGCCGGGCCGGATACAACATTATCCGCAATCCCCTAATCAGGGATCTCACCTAGGAGATTTGGCGAATAGTAAACAACCATAAGCGATCCTACAATCTCTACTCTGAGGCAACCAAACTCTGGGCTATAGCCAAAATATTGCCTAATCTGATGAGAGCGAAGACCAAGTGGAAATGCCACGCCTCGTCGGATCCGGAGAGATGCGCGAGATATTTGAGCCGACTTATTACATTGCATCCTTCGGTTGACAAAATGAAACGATGTAGAACCTACCGCCTGCGGAAAGTGCCTCAGGTCTTCAATCTGTCAATGACCACCCTAGAGATACCAGATGTGTGGAAAATGGGCAGGGTGCTCCCGCTACTCAAACCAGGGAAACCAGCCATCAAAGGAGAGCCATATCGGTCAATATCCCTACTCTCTCAGCAGAAGTACATCAGCACGACTTCAGCAAAGTGCATAGTACCACAGCAGCACTTAACGTCATAAACACCCAGATAGTCTTAACCAAAACCGGCTCTGTGCGCGAACTGTCCTGATAGCACTGGATTTGGCAAAAGATTTGGACACGGTCAATCATTCAGTGCTACTATCGGACACTGAGGAATCGTCATTACGGTCGTTTGAAGATTTGGATTATGGGTTACCTGAGTAGTCTAAGTAAACTAAGGAAGATTAAACAAAAGGTTCCGCAGGGTGGTGTTCTCTTCCCATTCTTGTTTAACTTCTATATTTCGAAGCTCCCTCTTTCACCAAAAAGAGTTTCTTTGCCTGCTATGCTAATGATTGCTCGATATTGGCATCAACTCAACTCATGGGTGGAGGTGTTGAATAGCAATATGGCAGTGAATGTTTAAAGTTTTTGCAAAATTAAAGGTCCTTCTTCAACTGTTATTTTAAAAGGAGTAGAAGTCTTCCTATTTCTCGGCTTCCACCGGCGATGCTTCATCGAACACAGTCAAAGATGAAACTTCGCTTCGGGCCAATTGTAAATTTTCCAGCTCTCAAGCCAACCTGTACGGTTCATTCAGTTTTTTGACGGTGGGCTTCAATATTTCATACTGTGCATTCTGTAAACATTATTTGCGAAGAATCCTATCCCGCAGTAATTCGAGTAGATTATAAGGAAGTTGCACATTCGTTTCCCACCTCGCACGTGTTATGGTTAATCGCAACGTTGAGTCGTGGTCTATTTTGTCTCTCCCGGATTCTTAGACTGGTCGAAAACTAATAGTTTCGTTTGCAGCGGCACGGCAGATGGATCGAAAATTCTATGAGATGATACGACGACTTAAGGAAGGTTTCAAGACCCGAGCAGACTCTTGTGTAGGACACAAAGAGCTCACCTAGTCACCGACGCCCAGAGTATATTGAATTTATGGAGGGCTGCAATACTAATACCGTCACGACTGGAGATGACCTTTCCAAGCCGTTCGATACCAAACGAGGTTTCAAGCAGGGCGATTCCCTATCGTGCTTGCTGGAGAAAATAATACGAGCAGCAGAGCTGACTAGAGAAGGTACAATCTTCTATAAAAGTATATAGCCGCTTGCGTTCACCGATGATATTGACATTATTGGCCTCAACAACCTCGCCGTGAATTCTGCTTTCTCCAGACAGGTTTGGTAGTGAAGACACATTCGCGACTTTGCTGCCATGTCGCTGTCGACAACCATAATCTTGAGGTCGTAGATAATTTCGGTTAACTTGGAATCAGTGTTAACACCAATAATAATGTCAGCCTAAGCTACTTTGCACTGAGTAGGCAATTGAAAAGTAAAGTCCTCTCCCAACGACCGAAAACCAAACTCTACAAGTCCCTCATCGGCGTTAGGAGTTTTCGACAAAAAGGTTTAGCGTAAGATTTATGGTCTTTGGCAATGGCAACGGGAAATATCGCAGACGATGGAGCTATGAGCTGTACGAGTTATACTGCGATACTGACATACTTCAGCGAGTCAGGCAGCTGCGGTTAAGCTGGTCGGAACATGTGGTCCGGACGGATATGATTAATCCAGTTTTGAAAGATGTCTATGCAGTACCCGCCGGTGGAAACAGAGGAAGAGGAAGACCTCCACTCCTTTGGAAAGATCAAGTAGAGAAAGAACTGGCTGTTCTTGTCAATGTCGCCGTATAACTCGTCTGCCATATTCGACGTTCCCAACTCGTAAAGAACCATAAATCTTACGCAATACCTTTCTCTGGAAAATTCCTAACGCCAACTCATCAGATGTTGTCATCGTCCATGCTTCCACATCATATAGCAGGACGGGAACGATGAGGGACGTGTAGAGTTTGGTTTTCGTTCGCCGAGAGGACTTTACTTTTCACTTGCCTACTCAGTCCAAAGTAGCATCTGTTGGCAAGAGTGATTCTGCGATGGACTTCAAGGCTGGTTCCTTAATAGGCGAAGCTATCTACAACTTCAAAGTTATGACTGTCAACAATGACGTGGGAGCCGAATCGCGAGTGCAATGGGTGTTTGTTTGAGAACGGGTAATACTTCGTCTTTCCCTCGTTCGCTACCAGACCCATTCGCTTCGCTTCTTTATCAAGTCTGGAGAAAGCAGAACTCACGGCGCGGTTGTTGAGGTTGTACCTTCTCTATTAAGCTCTGCAGCTCGTATTATTGTATTTTCTCCAGCATATAATTGAAGCAGTCACACGATAAGCAGTCTGAAACCTCGATTGGTATCGAACGGTTTGGAGAGGTTTTTCCCGATGCTGACGGAGCTCTTGGTGTTGCTCAAGGTCAGCTTACAAAGCCGTATAAGTTCAGCGGGGATACCAAATTCAGTCATAGCGGCCTAAAAGCAGCTCCTATTCGTGCTGTCGAAGGTGGCTTTAAAATCAACAAAGAGGTGGTGAGCGTCGATCCTCTTTTCCTGGGTCTTTTCCGAGATTTGGCGCATGTTGAATATCTGCTCAATATTGACGGTTGGCTTTAATCTCTCACATAATACGCGTGATAGGACCTTATCGGCGATATTAAGTAGGCTTATCCTACTAAAATTGGCGCAGGCTGTTGGGCCCGCTTTTTTATGCATTGGTCAGAGACATTTAAATTCTAATCGTCGAATATGCTTTCGTCCGACCATATTCTGCAAAGTAGCTGATGCATGCACCTTGTCAGCTCTTCGCCGCCATAGTTCTGCCGGTAGGCCGTCAGCTCGCGCCGCTTTGTTGTTTTTAAGCGGGCGACTGGTATTCGAACTTCTTCATGAACAGGTAATAGAATGTCTTTTCCATCGTTATCGATTGGGGTTTCGGGTTTACCATCTCCGGATACTCAATTTTCACTGCTATTTAGCAGGCTGGACAAGTGTTCCCTCCATAAATTCAATATACTCTTGACATCGGGTTAGATCATATCTTTGTGTCCTACAAGTGTCTGCTCCGGTAAGTCGTCGTATCTTCTCAAAGAATTTTAGAACATTACCCTTGTCGGATAGCTTCTCAAGCTCTTCATACCCACGCATCTCGGTCTCTTTCTTTTTTTTGTCTTCAGATGCGTCTTGCTTCCCTCTTCATCTCTCGGTATCTATCCCATCCCGCACGCGTTGTGATCGATCGAAACGTTGCAGTCTGTTTTCTTTCCACTGCGACACGGCAGTCCTCATAGTACCAGCTGCTTTAGCGACCTTTACGAAATCCATTACTTTCATTTGCAGCTGTACGTAGGGAGCTTGAAATGCCGTCCAACAGTTCCCGTATACCCAGTTGCTGATGAGTGCTCTCAGAGAGTAAGAGTGCAAGTCGAGCACAAAATCGTTTAGCAGTCTGTTGTAATTGCAGCTTTTCGACGTCGTACTTTCCCTGTGTTTGTTGACGGGCGTTCTTCGATCCACAGGGCCGCATAGGTATCTTCGCTGCAACAAGATAGTGGTTTGAGTCGATGTTGGGTTCGATTTTGAGTTAACGGTCTGTTTCTTAAACTATTCCATTGTGATTTACTCACTATATACTATAGAGTGAAGGCCTAAGCATTTTCTTTCTGTCAAATAAATTTTTAAACATTCTTTTAGTCACCATGCTTATATCAGTGGCATGACAAGAATTGATTATCCGCCTTGCAGTGAACATAATCTTCATCCGTTCGTTTCCGTTACCCCACTAATCTGTAAAAGAAGTTTATTCAACGTGCGCGTTTTATTTGCAATTTATTGATTCAAAATTTCATTATAAATATGAGTATGTAATACACATATACACATCCAAGATTGTACTCTGGGCGATAAGAGGGTCAAAGGACGTCGCACAGTGGAGTAAATGGTGCTCAAAATGGAGATTAATTCCCAAAAGTCTTCTAGTCACGGAAAGGTTATTTTTTTTTAAGTTAATTATTTATAAAGAAGTAAAAAAGTAATGCAATTAGAGTTATTTGAATGATTTTTTAATCATAAAAAACTAAGATGGTGAAAATCGGTTTTCTACAATTTTTATTTGTTTAAGGTTCAAATTTCATTTAAAATATATAAACTGCTTCTTCACCACCATAATCATATTCATGATCATAATCAACTTCAATATTATTGCCACTCCCCATCACGACCATCCCTAAGGCTTCTTCCAATAAATCCCGTATTTTTTTTTTGTGGTAAATTTCTTTTGTTTTGACTTCCCTTTTTCTGCTGTACTGCTATTGACATCTCGGTATTTTGAAAGAGTCTGGAAGTATGGCCATCATTCGAATTCTTAAAGCCGGGTTACAGTTGGTCGAACCATCAGACCAATTTTATCCTTGTTTTTCGAAACTAAAAGTTTCTCGCTTATTGTTCGATCTTGCACAATTTATACGATAAGTGGACATTTAAAGAACCTAATCCACCCGTGAAGTATCGAAAGACCAAATGAAAATTTTCTTTTTTACAGCTTTCTTCACTTCACTCTTATTAAAATTTTTCGAGTTCCCTCCACATAAATAATTTTTTTTTTTTGCATAGATGTTGTTTCTGTTAATGTGTTGCATAAAGATAAAAAGATAAAATTCCAAATATTTATTTCCATAAGGTAGAATTAATGATTTGATTGATTTTGAATTTCTATACGAGCTTCTTCGTTTCGTTTGCAATTGCTGTATTTGTTCTTGTTCTGCCTTAATAAAATCGTGTATATTTTGGCCAGGCTGTTCGCATGAAGAAATGCATATACTGGGCCAATATTGTGGCGCAACTTTTTTTCTACAAAAAGAAACTACCAAAGCCACATACGAGGTGTGTTCAAAAAATATCGCGAATTTTGTGTTTTTTCAAAAATTATTTATTTGTTCATGAATATCTATTCATGATTATCTAAGGGGACAACCCTTGAAAGTAATCTCCATGTGCTATTATACACTTGTGCCAACGGTTTTTCCAATCTTCGAAGCACTTCAAAAAATCATTTTTTTTTATCTTGTTCAGCTCCTCCTTCGATGCCGTCTTTATCTCATCAATCGTGGCGTAACGTCGTCCTTTCACGGGCCTCTTCAGTTTAGGGAACAAGAAAAAGTCACAAGGAGCCAGATCTGGGGAATACGGTGGCTGCGGCATCATTACTGTGTTGTTTTTGGCCAAAAAGTCGCGCACAAGCAACGATGTGTGAGCTGGGGCGTTAACGTGGTGCAAAAGCCAATTTTTGTCCTTCCACAAATCCGGGCGTTTTTGGCGGATTGCTTCGCGCAAATTGCCCATAACTTGCAGTTAATATTCCTCATTGACTGTTCTACCCTGTGGCAATACCATTTTCTCCACTTCATTAATTTTTTCGTCTGTTGTTGAAGTGCTCGGGCGTCCGGCACGCTCTTCGTCGCTCACATCTTCTCGGCCTTCTGAAAACATTTTTTACCACCGATAAACGTTGCTTCGGTCCAAGGTAGCTTCTCCGTATGCCACAGTCAACATTCGGAATGCATTCGTTTTTCACACAAAATTTGATCCATTTTTTTGAATAGGTAAAAATCGAAGACCATCCAAAACACTTGCAAGCAAAGCAGCTGTCAACAATTAAGTGAACATTCAAAATGCCCGAGATTGTCGGCATAAGTGACAGACATGAGTACCAACATACGCCACAAAAAATCGAAATTCGATTATACATACGTAGCCCGCGAAAATTCAAAATTTCGCGATACTTTTTGAACACACCTCGTATAGAAATTAAACAATGTTTGCTTTACCCCGCTTAACTCACAAATGTATGTATGCATATCAGGTCGAAACTCTCATATATATTAAGGCTTTCACGCAAAAAAAAAAATAAAATACTTAGAGACACGTACAAACAAATATAATCACTTTGAATTTACTGAATTACCTGAACAAGAAGGCTCCATTACAATTTTGAGATTTTACTGGGCAAAAAAATAATTAAAAAAATTTTAACTCCTTTCGTTTGGCCCCAAAATTTACATTGAATCTTGAATTCGATACCTTTGCCCTCATTGTGCGTAGGCAATGTACCTGGCAGGATGATATCAGCGTACACACATGCGCCTAATGCTATGCATCATTCTTTTCGGACTAGATCGGTCGAAATGTAGATCAGCCAATATGCGTTGAAAGTTCCAGAATCCAAACTGGTGCTGGGGTAGATACACGGTAAATTTTGTATCGTGATGTCATTTGTACCTTGGCGCTTGCTGGTTCTGTGTTTGCCACGAAGGCATATCAACCTTTCTAATTACCGCTCTTTTGAAAACAGACGAATTGGAACATAGACACCTATTATGTCATGTATTAAGTGCAGGCGACCGCCTGCCTCCACCTTTACGACCACTCTTGCGATACTGTTAAACTGTCGTAGCACTTGGCCCAGAAATGTAGGATCGGCGATATTCCCACTAGGAAAATTGCGAGGTAGCTGGCTAGGCTTAGTCACCAGTCTACTATTTTTGTTCTATGGCTGCACAAACAAAATACACACGCTTTTTGTTTTCGTATTCTTGCCAGTACCATTTATGAATTTACCTTGTTGTGTGCTTTAGATCACCATCTTAATGAAAAACAATAAGTTTTTCAGCAAATTGGCAATAATAGTTTGCGGAATATGAAAAAAGTGCTTTTTACCCATGACATCAGCTACATTTATTTTAAGGTTTTTGTACAAAATTTTTTTTTTTAAATTTTTTCGTGTCTATTCGTTAACATAACATATCATATATTAACTATAATACATACTTTTGAAATCTAGCATTTTGAAAAATACAATTCTCAATACATTTTGTGGTAATACATTTTTGCGAAACTCGGCATTTTGGCGCTGCGACACTTACACTCAAAATATGTATTGCTCTGTGAAAGGGTTCCGAGGAGAATTACTTACCTCGAAATCTCGATACAGATTTGAATTTGTTCCACAATTCGACACATAGAGCATACATAAGTCTCTAACGGTAACTGTGTAAATCATATCTTCTCAGGTCCATACAAATAATATCAAGAATTTTCTGTTTTAATTACTTTATTTACTATTTATGAAATTTATTTTAATTATATTATGTTATACATACGTTGTAAAAACACTTTACATATATAGTATATAAACTAAAATTGCGGGAACTTAGTTTAATTTATTCGTCGTAAAAAAGAAGTGTACGAAAATTTGCTGGCATTGACTTAACTAGGATAATATCACATATGTATAAAATCATTTTCATTAAAAAATTCAAATAAAAAATTTATATAAAAAGCCTATGTATGTATATATTTGGATAAGTATTAATGAAAATATGTTTGTGCAGATGCGAGAAGGCAGTGTTGGTGATTTTATGTAGCATATAATTTATATATGTATATATGTAGTTACTAAAAATACTTTTGAAAATCATTTTATGCTGCGAAAAAAAAAACAAAAAAAAAAACGCTGCATGCGCAATAAATTTACAAGTGCTTGGTTTTTGAATACGCATAATTTTTGTGGCAGAAATTGTTCAAATATATCAACAAAAATGTATTTTGGTTACATATAGATGTGTTGTTTATATTAACTACGTGTATGTACGAGTATACTAGCAAGTCATTTAATTATTTGAAATTACATAATTAAGTTTTGTGTTTAGAGATAAATTATAAATGTGAGTTAATATCGAATTGCGACTCGTAATTTTTTCTTATACGACTTATTTACAAAGTTTATCGAATTGTGTCTTGTGTAAATAAACTAAAGAACGGTTTAACAACAATTGCTTATCCCGAATGAAACATTTTCGAATATATTGTACAATACATACATACAAACTAATAAAATACTAAGACGCTAATTCTAAGTTTTCATATGAATGTTTATTGTATTGACTTAATTAAGATCGCTTTGTGTGGTAGCTTGTTGATTTCTCATCAAACAAATTGATTAATTAAAAATATCGTGTTTATAAGCGAGTCAGACCACAGCCGCAGGGTCTGACCACCACCAGTGCGAGATCAGTAGGAGAGTAAGGCAGATAAGTGAACCGCGCTTGGAGTGATTCCTAATGCCACTGGCACCGCTCGGCATATAGGAAGCCATGGTTTCATTCCGTTCGGATATTAACGGCGCTGTCCACGTTTGCTCCTCATCTACTTCATTCACTTGGCGCGGACAATTCATCCACTTGCGTGCACTAAGTTTAGGTCGTGGATGCGCAACCTCCATTAGGTCGTCGTTGAACTCCCAGTAGCCATATCCCTTGAAGAAGTATGTTTTGCCATTGCTATACTTGAATGCAGCATCGATATTGTAGCCAATGCCACGCCAAATAGACATATCCCGTGGGTAGTCTAACTCCACACGTCCGGTATCGTCATCTAAACGCCAGTATAGAGTGCCACTGGTCAGATAGGTACGGTTATTGTGGCCCCAAACAAAGGCTGCATCGATGTGTGTTAATGATGCTGGCAAACCCAGCGATGTGAGTGGTTGTGGGTAGCCCCTAACGAGCATTACAGAATCGAAGACATAGTAGTAACGGCCTATGAAAAAATATGTAATAAGCATTATAATAATATAACGGGATCTTTCTGACGTGGATATTATAGAGAATTTCAAACCTACCGATAAAGAAGACAATTTGACGATCTTTATTCTCATATACGGCATCGATTTTGGAGTAATTCTCAGGCAATTCGGTCCATAGGCGACGAGTCTCGGTAGGGTAGCCTGGGTAAAGCCCACGGTCTCCAATACGCCAGAGGAACTGTAATTACAAATTGATTGAATTAGTCCTATATCATATGAAGATAATGAAGCTGATTATGTCAGATTTACCTGCCCGCGGAATATAAATATTTCTCGACGTATAAGCGAAATGGCATCGTAGGTGGTGTGACAGTTATCAGGCTTCAATTTTTTGGGCTTCGTTGGTTGACGGCGTGGGTGCCAATTTTTAGTCGGTCGCGGCGGTGAGTCCGTGCGAGGTCTATATGTTGTGGTGGTAGTTGTGGTAAGTGGTTCGCGATTTCGATGATAGGGATTATTATTGTAAGGATATCGTCTGCGCGGTTCGTATGGTTCATATGATGGATACTGTGGATAATATACGAGCGGGCGCCGAGTTGTAGTTGTAGTTGTTGTCGTGGGTATTGTTTTCGGACGTTGCGGAGGTTTGAATGGACCCCAAGTTTTCTCTTTGGCACCATACAACTGTTGTATGGCATTTCGATCGTCGGCGGGGAGATTAATATCCACATCATTGTCATGATACCATGGATACATAATGGCATTTTGGTCGGAGGAATGTCCGAGGCCGAGTGAATGGCCAAATTCGTGAACTGCCACTCCAAGGAAATTTGTTGCTAAAATGAAAAAAAAAAGAAATATTAAAATAACTTCGATAAATAAAACATTTATTGATATCGAAAATGGCCGGAAATTAAGGCAAAGTCTGTAAGAAAATAACCAGCGAAAACCACTTATACCAAAATATCGGACATTATAATCGTCTAATAATATGTCGGAAATTATGAAAGTAGCACTTGAGTCTAATACCCCAATTTTGTCTGTTTCTTTGGTAGGAGATATTCCGAATTGTTACCATTCGCAGGCTTATTTGCTTTCTTAAACAGTCCGCAGATGTAAGAAGCAGGTAAAAGATTGCAGCTTTCGAATTTAGCTCTGCATTATATTGTATATAATTACATTAAATATTATTTTCCATAGCATTAAGTTAAAGAAATCTCTCTTATATATTCATCTTTACAGAAGTCTGGCTAGATTCCCAACGAAGTCAGAGTTTCATTTTTCAGTTTCATGATATTCTAATCATAAGCTTATGGATTACCAGAAAAGTGAGATGCACACTCGAATACCTAAAGGCCGCTATATCGCCGAAACTGAGCGCTCTTAAGACAAATCAATTTACAAAAGTGGTATTAAAATGCTAGAGCGGAACCAGAATCGGAACATTTTATACCGACATGAAATATAAAAATCTTCATAAAAATCTATCAGCTCCTAGGTGTCGTTTTAAACTTTTTATCTCTCGCCTTGTCGGAAAAGAAACAAGACCTCGAACTGGAGGAGGGTACTGATCAAAAATCGTTTTAGACATGATTTGTTATTCCTCAAAATCGACGTGGAGATTTTTGTCATATATACGTACAATAACCCTTCTATGGGCACGAAATGGTATTATAACTTTGATTTGAAGTCAGCAAGTACTAGGAGAGAGTAGAAGAGATTAATAACAGATTCATCAGGCTGTGATCAAGACTTCTTTCTCTCCGTCTGTTTGTTTGCCCGTGCCTAGAGCGATAGTCTGAGTATTTTTTAAATCTACTAATCATTTCATGGAACAGATTAGAACGAAATTTATCTAAAGCTCTCATATACCTTGTTGTTAAGAAAATAAGTGTATAAGAACCTGCCATAGCATAATAAGGGAGAAGGGTACAATCCTTGCACATCTTAATTAATATGGATAGGCCTTTAGGTACTGAAATCTAATAATTTTGGTTATTGAGAAACATCGAAAAGCTTCAGTTCAACTATTGGGTTGATTGCATTTCACTAGTCCGCGAAATAGGAAATCACGAAAAGAAACTTGTAAAATATTTTATTTCGCTTTAACATCAGATATTAAATAGTATTCAAATTTCACCAAATTATTTCTAAAGCAACATAATAATTTACTCCTTCTGTGTTTGTGTGAATTTATATAATCAGATCTGAGTATGTGTGAATGGAAGAAATTAGCATTGAGTTGCGTTGTGGTGTATATATGAATGAGTTTAAATTTTGCAAAAAAAAAAGAAAAATTAATGATTTATTGGTGAAATCGGGACAAATATTATGTTGATTTTGGACAGCAACAACAACGACGCTGGCAACGGTAGCAACGGCTTCCCCTATGATTGTGGTCAACCAAAAACAGAACAGCAAGAGGCGTCGATTATTGCATTTGGTGGTGGTGCTGTTTTTGGGTGGGGCACGAGTCCGCTTTGGTTAATCCATTGCTTGTGGCAGATGTGATGTGTTTGGTCATATATAGAATGGTTAGAAATTGTTCATATTTGTACACACACACACGAATGTACACACGCACAGTGTTGCCTGCATGTTTGAATGCACCTACAAGCTGTTCCATCGCACATTTATCAAGTAAATTAACCATTTTCGCAAATTAATTACATTAGTGACAACATACAGGGCGTGATGCGGTTTGGCGACCACTGGCAAGCATCCAGCAAACTCTGTTGCAATACAGACAATATTACAGTAGCGGTGTTGGCCATAGTTGATTGCAACATCTGTTTTCGATCTGTATGAAGCGACTGAAGGCATGGCCTACCACCCTATGAAAATCGAGTTAGAAGTGGCGATGGGGGTGCGCTGCGTGAATGTGGTCGAGATATGCTATTACTATGTTGAACGATATGCAATTTGTTTGCGGATAATTACTTCTATGCAAATGCCTATCTGTGCGGGTTATTGTGTGCTTCAGTGAGGTATTCAAAATGGGGCTGCGAAGAAGCTACGCAAACAGACGTACATAAGTCCATAAAGTATGGATTAGTTCAGTTTGGTTTGAATTACTACTTTTCATACATGCACATACATGCACAATTACCTACATTCATACAAATACAAACATATAAACATAAAACCGCGATCAGGCTGCTATTATACTATATTCGTCTACAATTTTTTTTTTTTGCTTTTTATTTTAATTTATTTTAATTTTACTAATTTAATTTAATTTAACTTAATTTAATTTTATTTTTTTTAGGTTTTTTCAGTTATTTAGTTCTTTTTATTAATTAACGTGAGCATAACAACTATCATAATGTTATTAGTAACTAATTTTTATTTTTTTTAGGTTTCGGTTTGCTCAGACCATATATTTTTTAGACATGACATGTTTGGCATGATAAAATGTTCACCTGAGTCAGAAACTCCTTAATTTCGACTTACTAAGTACTTATTGAAAATTATATCGCAAAAGGTATCAGATAATGAAAAAAAGGATCAAAATAAAAGTATTGCCTAAATGCCTAATATGCAGCTGGATTTAGCTAGCCTTCTAACCTTTTACATATATTTTCAATCTAACATAGTTTTCATTTAGATCTGGATTTTTTGCCTTTTGCTTAGAAAATAATTTGGCTGTTTTCAGTTGCTTCTATATAACCAGTGAAATGCATTATTAGGAAAGTTAAAACGTTGCTCACAAGAATTTGGCGATCTGCTAGAAGTATCTACTATATGAAGCTTTGATTAGACACTTCTTCCATATTTACCTTTGTGCGTGGGCACTACTTAAGCGATTATATCCGAATTAATTTTAGCGTGCCATTCATCCACCGTTGCCAATGCGCAAAGGACCATAAATCGTTCGTAAAACTTTTCTCTCGAAGACCCCCAGTACCGCCTCATCAGATGTTGATATCGTCCACGCTTCTGCGCCATGTACAATAGTAGGGCGAGTATGATGAGCGACCTGTAGAGTTTCGTTTTCGTTCGCCGAGAGAGGACTTTACTATTCAATTGCCTACTCAGTCTAAGGCAGCACCTGCTGGCAAGAGTGATTCAGCGTTGACGTTATTATTGGTGTTAAGGCTAGTTTCTAGATAGACGAAATTATCTATGACTTCAAATTTATGACTGTCAACAGTGACGTGGGAGCCTAATCGAGATTGCGATGACTTTTTGTTTGATGACAGAAGATATTTCGCCTTGTCCTCGTTTACTACCAGACTCATTCGCTTCGCTTCTTTATCGAGTCTGGAGGAAGCAGAACTCACGGCGCGGTTGTTGACGCCAATAATGTCAAAATCATCGGCATACGCCAGCAGCTGTACACCCTTATAGTAGAGTGTACCTTCTCATTCAGCTCTTCAGCTTTCAGCTTTTCTTCAGCATCAAATTGAAGAAATCACACGAAAAGAGCCACCTTGCCTGAGACCTCGTTTCGTATCGGAGAGTTCCTTCCCATGTCTGACTGCGCTTCTGGTGTTGTCTAGCGTCAGCTTACACAGCCGTAAAAATTTAGCGGGGATGCCAAATTCAGACATAGCGCCGTAAAGCCAACTTCTGTTCGTGTCGTTCCTCTTTTCATGGGTCTTTTCTAAGATTCGGCGCATGGTGACTATAAAATAAAAGCCACACTGATTAGGGCCAATCAATTTTTTGACGGTGGGCTTTAATCTTTGGCACAAAACGCTCGATAGGAAATTATAATCGATATTAAGGAGGCTTATCCTACGATAATTGGCGCATACAGTGGGACCCCCTTTTTTATGGATTAGGCATAACAAACTTAGGTTCCAATCATCGGGGCATGCTTTCATCCTACCATATTTTGCAAAAAAAGCTTGCATGCACCTGATCAGTATTTTTATAGTTCGACCGGTAATCTATGGGTCCCTGCCGCTTTGTGGTTTTTTAAGCGGGCGATTACTATTCGGACATTTTCATAGTCGGGTAACGAAACAACTTTTCCATCGTAATCAATTGGAGTATCGGGTTCACCATCTCCGGGTGTATAATTTTCTTTGCCATTCAGCTGGCTGGAGAAGTGTTCTTTCCATAAATTTTGTATACTCTGTGCATTTGTAACTACATCACCCCTCTGGGTTCTACAAGAGTTTGATTAATTGGACACATCCTCTAACATAAAAAAGCGAAGGTTGATGTTTTTGAAATGTCTAAAGTAAATAAGACACATCAGGCAGGTCCCAAAACGATACCTTAAAGGAAAGTAAGTAACCACAGATGGAAACCCTGTGAGGTAAAAACTGTTACCTTAACTGTGTACCGCCTATTATTGTAGTAAAGTTTGATATGAGGGTTTGCTAAAAAAAGATTTCCACAAAGTCATTACAAATTTAAAGAAGATATTTGAACAGCAGCTCTTTCCGAAAAATATCAGAAATGTTTGGCACCAAGCTTTCTGAAAATATCCAAGTTGGCATTAAAGAGAGTCGAGACAAGAAATTGCTATTCAAATTTGGTAGCTCTTTTAGCATTTGTGGTGGTACGTGGTCATAATCAGGGGATTTTTTTCAAATTCAACATGATATGTCTTTTATTTTATATGAGATTGTCCGAACATTGCCAATAGTTCAGAAAATATATTGAAACATATATGAAACAAAATTATTTATTGTTGCGTTTGGCTGGATTACTTCACTAAAGTGATTTGCAAACCTTTTTGAATTTTCTTCATCAGAGCTGTCTCACCTGTACCTTCTTTTTGGGAAGAATTTGTCGTCAAAAATGAAATTCAAATTTTTTGGCCATATTTTACGGTATTCGTTACAATTAGATAGGTCATGGAAAATATTTTAGCTACACT